ACATCCTGAGCCCAGCAAGTTAGTACTTTCTCTCTCTCTCTTTTGGTACCAGAAATTGAACTCAGGAGCACTTAATCACTGAGCCACATCCCCAGCCCTTTTCTGTATTTTATTTAGAGACAGAATCTGAGTTGCTTAGCACTTTGCTAAGGTTACTGAGGCTGGCTTTGAACCCATGATCCTCCTGCCTCCACCTCTGGAGCCACTGCGATTACAGGTATGCTGAACTGTACCCAGCCAAGTTAGTACTTTCTCTACAATAACACTTTTTGATCTGTGTGTGGTACTGAGGATTGAACCCCAGGCCCTTACATACACTAGACAAGCAATCAACCACTGAGCTATATCCCCAATCCTTTCTATTTTTAAATTTTGAGATGGGGTCTTGCTAAGTGACCAAAGCCAGTTTCAAACATGTGATCCCCCTGCTCAGACTCCCGAGTTGCTGGGATTACAGGCATGTGCCCAGCCAGGATAATACTCTTAACATTGTGGTACAAATGACTCATTTTGTTATCCACCTTTTTTTGATGTTGCTGTTGTTCGGTGCAGGGGATTAAACTTATGGCCTCACTTATGGTAGGTAAGAGCTCTACCACTGGGCCAAAACGCCCTCTATCCCTTCTTCTCCACCTTGAACATCGCCTTCAGCCAGCTGCTTATAGCACAATGCCCTTAGCAAGTAATCAATAAACATTTGTTGAACAAACAAATAAGCAAGTAAACTGGAATCAGTTTCTCCTCCTGAGGCTTCACCTCCGTGAACGAACATGGTAGCTGTCCTCCCGCCGGCGTCGACGTGTCCGGTCACTACTACTTGACCAGGAACGACTTCTTCGTCGCTTATGTTTTCGGCTCCGATAGTGCTCATGGTAACTCCCCCTGCTACCTCGCTCTGAGGAATGGTACCTTCGGGGATGAGGCATCTGAAAGGGATCGAAAAATGGAAATAACAGGGAATGCTCTGGGTTTTTAGAAGTCTCCTCCAAGGATTGGTTGTTCCAAAAATGTTATGCTGTTTTTTGTTATTTCTATTTTCTTCTTTTTATATATATATATTTATTTTTTTAGGTGTAGATGGACACAACACAATGCCTTTATTTTTATGTGGTGCTGAGGATCGAACCCAGGTCCCACCCATGCTAGGGAAGTGCTCTACCGCTGAGCCACAAGCCCAGCCCCTAACTCTCTCTTCTTTTATTTACCACTCACAACTTCCTTAATCTTCCTAACAATTTGTCCTTCTTGGAAGATACATTCACTTATTAATTTTGGTAAAATACTCTAGAAAGCCCCCTCAGTTCAAATGCTCTACCCTGGTTTACTTCACGGCTCCACAAAGACCTTCAAGTCTGAGCCACAACTTATTATAGGTAAATGTGTAGCTGATGGAGACTGCCACAGTCCACTCCTGCTGTGACTAAAATACACAAGTGTGTGATCCTGTGATCCTCACAAGTTAAAAGAATAAAACTTTAGTTTACAGTTATATTTTACAGACATTAAAAATAAATCTTAAAAAAAAAAAAAGTATATCTTATCTCACCAACTAGACTATCAGTGTTCCAAGGGCAGGAATGCAATTTTCCAGAACTCTATACACAGCCTAAACACTAAACACTGCCAAGTTCTAAGAATGTGGCCCCTTGAACTATCTTAATCACCTCTCACATCTCTGGTGAAATCCCTTGTGAGAGGTTTTAATAAAGTAGGCCCAAATTACATTCAGTTTTCTATCTGGCCCCTCCCATCTTATGCTTAGAAGTAGGCAAAAACTTGTTTTTAATTAATATCAGCACTACTTGGATGAGAATGGCCGCTTTCCAGTTAATGAAATTGGAATGGTATGATTCAAAAATCCTTTCTTTCTCAAGGAAAAAAAAAATCAAGAGAGAATCACTGTCAAAATTCAGGAAGGCAATAGCAGAACAGAATGAAAACAACCCAAGGACAGAAGTCGGGTGGGGGCCGGGAGGATCAGGTGTGCAAAGGGTTTAAGGACTCCAACATCTGGCTCCCATTCTGGGCCACTTCTTGCCAACCTCCTCAAAATGAGGAGGTTGATATTTGATGCATTCTTGGCCTAAAGCGACTGGCAGGAAACCAAGAAGATGGAAGCACAAGCTTCTCCCAGGTAATCCAACCTTGATTAGCATAGCTACATAAATGCCATCTCACCCCATAATACTGCCATTAAAATCCCTCACAGGCCTTCCCCCGCAAAGCTTCTAAACCTTTTCACTCATAAAACCCATAACTAACTCCTAGAGTGAAACTCTTCCTGCATGCTTCAAGTGATACTTCTCTGGCTTCGATTGGACCCGCTGGTCCAACTTTGATATTAAGCTCTATTGCATCTCTGGAACCACTCCAATCCTTACCCCATCACTCCTCCTACTTTGCCTCCTTCCAACTTTCCCATAGGTTTTTCCGGATACCGGCCGACCTCCTTTCCCATTTCCCTACTGCACCGCTTCGCAGATCGCAACCCTCCTCTTCTCTTCATCTCGCCCCCGTTCCTTGCCCCCAATCCAATCCTACCCCAGTCCGCCCCGCAGTCGCCATCTTCCCGCGCGGCCCCGAGGTCCGCCAACCCGCGCGCTCACCGTTCTGGCGGCGAGGCCCGTGCGCTTGTCCCACAGGAAGTCCGTGATGGCGGCGGCACTGCGGCCGGAGTCCCGGCACCCCCGCGGCGACGAAGTGCGGCTCCACCCCCCCAACCCGGGACCCTGGGACCTCCCGCCCCGTTCCCGGGCTCCGCTCCAGTCCCGCCCGCCCCGGTTCGTCCCCGCCCCCAAGATCCTCTCGGCGCCGCTCGCACCGCCCCCGCCCAGGGCCCGATCCCAGCTCGGTCTCCGGCCCTGGCCTCTCCGCTCCGCCGCCGCCACCGTGAGCGAGCACGCACGCACGCACGCACGCACGTCCTGCGTCGCTTCCCAGCGACCCCCCTCAGCTCCGCCCCCAGGGCCGCGCGCGCCACCACGTGCTCGGCGGCTCGCGGGCGTCGGTCTGTCAGAGCCCGGGAGGTGCAGGAGGCGGAAGTTCCTGGAAGCCGGGAGGGACTCGGGGCGCGCTGGGCGTGTACCTGGTTCGCTCTGCCCCGCCTCCTGTCCTCTCCTATTCCTCTGCACTCCTGTCCTTTCCCGTCACATCTGTGGCTTACTTATTTAGCTTGGGAGGTTGAAAGGATTGTATTTATAGGGTGTCGCTGTTCGGCAGACCTGACTCTGGTGAGACTTGGTGGTGAGAGCCAAAAAAACATCCATTTCTTATAGCAGTTTCACTACCCAACCCCAGCACAGAGAGGTTCCCACCTTTTGTCCTGAACGAATTTAGTTAAGCACTTGTGGGGCAGGTACATGGCTGGGGAGAAAAGGGGAGAACCCAGTGCCAAAAAAGCGGGAGGCGTGTTAGCGGGGGAGATCACTTGAAAACTCTTATATGCTTTACATAATATGTAAGAAGTATGAATTTACTGAATCTTTAAAAATAACAGGCAGGAGAAAGACTTTAAGGCAAAGTGGACAGTTAGAGACACTGCAGAGGAACTGAGAAATGGTCAGAAAGGAAAATTGGATGGGAAACAAAATAACTTGAGAAATCAAGTAAGGGAATATCAGAGTGAAGCTAGGTGAAAGATCGTCAGAGATGATGGAGATTAAAACGGTTAAAAAAATAGGAGAAATTCCGTGACATAGAAAAGAAGGGGAGTGAAAGAATTGGAAAGGAGTGAAGGTTTCACTCTTGCACACTTTCCTAGATCATTCATTCATTCAACAAACACTTAATGGGTGTCCACTCTATGTCCAGCTTTTTACCAGGCACAAGTCTCCTGTACTTCAGAATCTCAACATATAATGGAGATGACTGTCTTATAAACTTATATTGTCAACCTTGTAACAAGAGCTGTTATAAAAAGTGATGCCCTGACTCCTGTAAGAAATCTCTAGACTAGACTCTAGGGAAGGGAGTTGGAAATCTGTTTCTAGGTTTCCTAAAAGAGATGAGATCTCAACTGTTGGAAAGTAAATTGGAGGAGAATATCAGGCAGAGAAAATGCTTGCAAGGACCTGGAGACAAGGCAGAACAATGCATTTCAGCATTATTGCAGTCCTGGCTTTCAAGATAGGGACTATCAGAAGAGAGTTGAAACTAGGTCCAAATTTTGCAGTTCCTGGTAAATTAGGCTTTAGCTTCAATGCAGTCCTAAAATGGGGAAGTTTGAAGAACTTTACAGCTACATTTGGATTTTAGAAGAATGACTGGCAGGGTTGGGGATGTAGTTCAATGGCAGAGCCTAGTATGCCTGGGTTCAGTCCCCAGCACCAGAGAGAGAGAGAGATGAAAGGAAGAATTTGAGATATTTAGGAATTAATACCCCTTAACATCACAGCACTGAAATTTAACTGTTCATTGATCTGTCCTTGAGCCCAGATAAGCATGGCTTTATAGTATGGCTAAGACTTTGTATAAGAGTCCCTAAAGAGTTGCATTTGGTGAAGGTTGGCAGAATCAGGAAATATTCTAGGGGTAGCAGCTTGGAGGAGCTCAGAAAGCAGGAATAAGCGTAAGGAGAAAAATGAGAGAAGACGAATCGGGATTGGAGACCCACGGGCGAGGATGGGCAAGAAGAACCTGAAAAGCCATTCCCCACTTCTTCCATTGGCCCCCAACCCTTCGCCTTCCCGCAAAACCCAGGACCGGTTTTCCCGCCACTTGCAGGCGGCTCCACCTCCCGGACTCTCAGTGGCTAAAAGCCCGTCAACTCTAGGCCACGCCCTCTCCTGGGCTCGGGCCGTGCTTGGCCGCCTTCGGCTCCGACCCTTGGAGGGCCGCTTTCGGATTGCTAAGCCACACCCACCTCCGAGTCCCCCCAGGACGCGGGCATCTTTGGTCCCACCCCCGCCCGCTCGGCCGGGTCTTCGCGCAGCCCTCGCCAGGGGGCGCAGCGCCACCCCGCCCGCCTGCCAGTCTGTCGCACACACCCCCTCCGCCCCGCGCGCCAGCGGTTCTGAGCCTGAAACGCCTCCGCTGCCAGCCCGCGGGGCCACGCCGGCTCCTACTCCTGAGGGGTCGGGGGGCGCCCCCATGGCCGCAGCGGGGTGTGGGAGGCCAAGGGTGTAAGCGGGCGGTCGTCATGGAGGCGGAGCAGCGGCCGGCGGCGGGGGCCGGCGAAGGGACGACCCCTGGGCTGGAGGCGGCGCCTCCCACTGCTCCCACTCCCGCGACCGCGGCCTCGGGTCCGATCCCCGGGTCAGCTCCCGAGCCTAAGAGGAGGCAGCTCGGGACGCTACTGCAGCCCACGGTCAACAAGTTCTCTCTTCGGGTATTCGGCAGCCACAAAGCAGTGGAAATCGAGCAGGAGAGGGTGAAGTCAGCGGGGGCCTGGATCATCCACCCCTACAGCGACTTCCGGTATTGGGGGCCCGGCCGGGAGGGCGGGAGACGCGGATCCCACCTCCGCGGGCAGCCACGCGGGGTCTAGGCCCGCCCCACCCTCCGAGGTCACTTCATTTCCGGCCCAGGGGTCTCTGGGTGGGGCAGGAGAGTCGCCTCCCTCAGCCTAGCCTGGGAATACCTGTGTAGGGTATCCCCGGCCGGAGATCCTCGGTGATTTGTTAGGCTGGGGCGCCAAAGGGGCGAGCACACATCAGAGGATCTCCAGAGACCTGGCTTTCCCATTTCAGGGACCTGGGACCCCACCTGGACTACAGGGACTACCCGAGTTTGGAACCCTTGCTTCTTTCCGTCCTGTTTGGTGGGGATCTGGGAAATTATGTCATAGTCCAAGGGTTAGCCTGAGGCAGCAGCCGAGCTCCGCTCTCTCCCCTCCTGTACCCCTACCTCCAGCACCTGCCTAGTTCAGCAGGACAAGCTGGAGAGGGCAGGGGTCCTGACAGCCGGTCTGGTCGCTGTCCGTGGTGCTGAACGCAGGGTGTGGCAAGGCGAATACTCAGAGCAATTGAGGTAGCAAAGCCAGGGCACAATCACTCCCCAGGTGACTCCCAGAAAAGAGGAAAGGAGGTGGGGGTGGGGCCATTTCACAGTCCCCATCAGGCTGTACCTCTACATCAAGGTCGCTAGGGGAGGAGAGCAGCCCTGTCCTTGGGGAAAATGAAGGACAGCTTTTGGATGAGGCAGGGATGTGTGCAAAGCTTCTAACCCGAGGAACGAACGAAGCAGAATGGCTGAAGTGTGAATCTAGAGCCTTGAAACACAATTGGGAACCCAGATGTTATCTTGAATCCACAGATATACACACTCCTTAAATGTTCCTCTTCCTCCCATTGTCCTTTCCACTTCTCTCTTTACTGCCTCACTCTCATCCCTCAGGTGCACCTTTTCTAGTTCCCCATGGTCACCCTTTCTCTCTCCAGTTCACCCTCATATGTATCCCCAGGAGCTGTATCCCCCTTATGATTGTGCTTCTCTCCATCCTTTCTTCTACATCACCCGCTGGGCTTGTGACCGCCTGTGAGTCAGGCTGTGAAGATGCTCTTATGGCTAGGCAAACCCTTTTTCCCTCCCCTCTCCCAGAATCTCACAGTACAGGATTTCTCCTCAGCAGCCCAGGAGAGAGGGAAAGAGGGATCAAGGATTTGTTGTTGAACAAAAGCACACAATCTGAGGGGTTTCCTGAAGGCTGGTACTGGGAACCCCCAAGCACCTTTCAGGGGCTGGGAGGATTGGTTTTTCAGTCAGAGTCGGAAGGCACTGTGCCCTGGGTTTATACTGGGATTAGATGTGTCCTAGAATTAAAACCACCATTGGTAATTGAGTGCCTCAGATTATCCAGTGATTTTATCTGAGTGAAGGCTTCTCTCAGCTCCCTCCCAACCTCTTATTTCTAAAGCGTCTGCCACAGCAGTGTGGCTCTCCCTAGCTCATATCCTTGCCTGGGCACAGGAAGGTTAGAGAGAGTAGGGAGTGCAGAGCTCAAGCCTTGCTGCCTCGGATTGCCCATGAAGTTCCTCTGTGTGAGCAGACCTATGAGATGCAGTGGAGGCACTAGGGAGGGGCATCTCTGGATTGCTCAGGTCAATGGGGGCAGGACAGACCAGACTCCCCTGGAACACAGATGAGCAGATCCCCATAGACAAACAGGATTCACAGGTCCAACTGTGTTGGGGAGGAGGAACGGGGTGAGGACGGCTGAGGAGAGTGTGGGGTCCTAGACTAGGAATGGGCAGAAAGCTGGAGATGGGAGAAGCAACAACCTTTTCAGAAAGCTGGGGATAAAGGGTGGGTGAGTCATAACACCAGCTAGTGCTTGTATAGCACTGTCACATCCATTGTTTCAGTGGAAATTTTTTCAACAACCCTGTGGGATTGGAGTACTTTATCTTTCTTTTTTAACCTTTAGAATAGTTAAAAGTGGTGACATAGGTCTTATATAGTAGGGATGATACACACACACACACACACACACACACACACACACATCATGTAATAGCTGTCTAGGTTAAGAGGTTGCATATTGCCAGTGCCACAGAAGTTCTCTCATATCTCTTTCCCAAACCCATAAATATGAGAGTACCCACTAAATGTTCAGCTAAGTGTTCTCATATTCATTTCCCAAACTCACTATTCTTATCATCTATGTATTTATTGATTGATTGATGGTGGGGATTGAGCCCAGGGCCTCAAGCATACTAAGCACACACTCTACTGCGGAGCTATCCCCAACCCCATATTCTAAGTTTTGTGGTACTCATTTTCTTACTTTTAAAAATAGTTTTACCACTTTTCTGAATCCTGAAATAATGAATGTAATTTAGTTTTGCCTGTTTTTAAACTCTGTGTAAATGCACTCATCCCATATTATCCTTATGTTTTTTTTTCCCATTATGAAATTTGTGAGCTTCATCCTTACTGCAGATGTAGCTGTAATTGGGTAATTTCACAGCCATGTAGTATTCCAGACTATGAATATGTCATGTATCACAGAGTATTTATCTTCATGTCTTTTTTATCTATACTTTCTACTTATGAATATTTGGGTTGTTCCCAAATTTAATTCTGTTATAAATATTCCTATATATATTGCTGGAGTGCTTGTTTCCCTCTGGTGTGTACATATCTAGGAATGGAATTGCTGGGTTTCTGGGAATGCAACTATTCAACTTTACTAGATAATGCGGCACAGTTTCCTAAATAGCGGTTCCAGTTCTCATTCCCAGCGGCTATTAATGTGTAAGTGGACTCATCCCATATTATCCTTATGTTATTATCCTCATTCCGTTATTCTGCGTTCTTGCCCATGTTGGTGGGGAGTCACAGTATCTTCTGTCATTCTACTGGCTGGTAAAATATCGTGGTCTTACTCCCTATCCGGCTCCCTCCTTAGGTTTTACTGGGACTTGATCATGCTGCTGCTGATGGTGGGGAACCTCATCGTACTTCCCGTGGGCATCACCTTCTTCAAGGAGGAGAACTCCCCTCCCTGGATTGTCTTCAATGTCCTTTCTGATACTTTCTTCCTGCTGGATCTGGTACTCAACTTCCGCACCGGCATCGTGGTAGAGGAAGGCGCAGAGATCCTTCTGGCACCGCGGGCCATCCGCACGCGCTACCTCCGCACCTGGTTCCTGGTTGACCTCATATCTTCCATCCCCGTGGATTACATTTTCTTGGTGGTGGAACTGGAGCCACGGCTGGACGCTGAGGTCTACAAGACGGCGCGCGCCCTGCGCATCGTTCGGTTCACCAAGATCCTCAGCCTGCTGCGGCTGCTCCGCCTCTCCCGCCTCATCCGCTACATTCACCAGTGGGAGGAGGTGGGGTGGGGAGGTGGGCAGGGGGGCTCGCAGAGCCCTTAGGGAAGGCTCTGTGGGTGGGGGCTCCTGGTGACTTTATAAGTGAAGCGTGGTTGAGTTCATTCAAAAGTTGATGGGGGTGAAACACTACAGAAAAAGGATTCAGGGGATGAGGCCTGGGGCAGAGTGTTGGGGCAGGAGAGTGGAGCTCAGCAGCTGGACAAACACTTCAGGGTTAGTTGATCCCAGGGTGAAGAGGGGGTGGGAGGAGTCAGAAGCTGCGGCTTCAGGACAGCAGATTAGTGGTTCAGAGTGTGGTCTCTGCAACTTCGTGTCCTGTGGTCAGATCCTAGTTTTATTATTTAATATATGTACCTAAGGTGTGGTTGGAAAGATTAAAGGAGTTAATACATGTAAAGCACTTAGGCATCTGGTGCCTAGTAAGTTCCAAGTAAATTAACTTATTTCTGTTGTTGGAGGGGAAAAGGGCTGCTGGCATTAATCCTTCCATCCATGCCTAGGGACATTACATTGTGAAATGCCCCCTGCCCTCTTTTTCAGGCCACACCTGGGCAGCTTGTGCAGTAGACCTGTTTGAGTCTCTACTGGGACACTTACAGTGTGATTCAGGACATATGATTGGCCTTAATCTTCCTACCTATGAGAGTAGGGAAGCATGATCTAATTTATATGAGCTATATATGTGTGCTAGAAACTCCACACAAACACCATCCACGTTTTTTTAAATTCAGGGAGGCGGGGGCAAGGGAGAAGTTCAAAGATAATTTGCAAGGCTAGGACTGGAGAAGGACCAGCAGGGAGGGGTTCCTGTCCACAGCAGCCCCTCCTCGGACTCCTCAGATCTTTCACATGACCTATGACCTGGCCAGCGCTGTGGTTCGTATCTTCAACCTCATTGGGATGATGCTCCTGCTCTGTCACTGGGATGGCTGTCTGCAGTTCCTGGTCCCCATGCTGCAGGACTTCCCTCCTGACTGCTGGGTTTCTATGAACCGCATGGTGGTGAGAAGTCCCCCGGCTCTGCTGCCCCTGGGCCTTCTGAGGGCTCTTCTGCCTGAGCAGCAGGGATGGCCTCAGGGAGCAGGAGGTGGGGGATAATCAAGAAAGAAGACTGGAAGAGGTGGGGAGGAGGGAGGAGGGGGGACAGAGACCCAGAGGAACTGTCTGTGTGTTGGAGGGGGTAGGCAAGGAATGGAACCTAAGCAGAAAAAGGCCCCCAAGCTGTAAAGAGGGCTTTTTTGCTTCAGGGACCCCAGAGTGAAACAAGTGTCTCCTGGGAGGATGGTCTGAAGTAGAAGGGGCAGGCAGAGGACTCAAAGAGAGAAAAAGGGGAAGGTGGAGAATGAGGCTCTGAGGGGCCATGCCTAGCTCTGCAATGTACTCTGCCCCCCAGAACCACTCGTGGGGCCGCCAGTACTCCCATGCCCTGTTCAAGGCCATGAGCCACATGCTGTGCATTGGCTATGGGCAGCAGGCTCCCGTGGGCATGCCCGACGTCTGGCTCACCATGCTCAGCATGATCGTGGGCGCCACGTGCTACGCCATGTTCATCGGTCACGCCACTGCCCTCATCCAGTCCCTGGATTCTTCGCGGCGTCAGTATCAGGAGAAGGTCAGCATGGATCGGAGAGGGAAGGGGTTGGTGTGGAGAGGTGCTGGAGACTGGGTAGCTCGACCTGAGGCCCATTCTGGTGTATGCCATGTTGGGTCTCTTGTGTCCTTCCCTGACCCATGTCCATTTGTCCTCTACTTCTGCCCTTGGGCCCTGCCCCTCTACCCATTTCTGGTTTTTCCTGTCACTGTGCTATGTGTCCTCTCCATATCCACCCTTATCCATATATCTTGTGGTCCTGTGTATCCACTTCGGGCTCCATGTTTCACCTCTAACTCTGATCTATGTCTGTAACCTCCCACCCCCACCCATGTCTCTCTGTATCCTCCTCCTGCTGGCCATGGGTCGCCCTCCAGTACAAGCAGGTGGAGCAGTACATGTCCTTCCACAAGCTCCCGGCTGACACCCGGCAGCGCATCCATGAGTACTATGAGCACCGCTACCAGGGCAAGATGTTCGACGAGGAGAGCATCCTGGGCGAGCTGAGCGAGCCACTGCGGGAGGTGGGGCCAGGCTGGGCCCTTGACGGGGCTCTTCAAGGATCTGGGTTTCTGGGGGTGCTGTTTCTCAGGGCAGGAGGAACTGATCAGTAGGTACTCTTATAGGGAGTAAGGCCTGTAGAGGGCGCCTGGGAGGTCAGGTATGTGGGGGGCCTTATGGAGTTAAGAGACTTTCCTGAAGGCCTTATGGGTGACGTATGCATGGGTGGGGCTATAGGGATTTCTGTTTTGGGGAGAAGGTTCCACCCAGGCCCGTGGGAGGGCTTTGAAGACAGGAGCTTAGGAATGGTCCCAGGCCCACTGTAGCATCCCCATCCTATGGCAGATCTTGACCCCAGGGTGGGGTTTCTGGAGACAGCTCATTGGAGGAATCTTAGGGCAGGCAGCACAGCCTACCTGACAGGCCCCTCCCCTGCCCAGGAGATCATTAACTTCACCTGCCGAGGCCTGGTGGCCCATATGCCACTGTTCGCCCATGCCGACCCCAGCTTCGTCACCGCGGTGCTCACCAAGCTACGCTTTGAGGTCTTCCAGCCGGGGGACCTTGTGGTGCGTGAGGGCTCCGTGGGCAGGAAGATGTACTTCATCCAGCACGGGCTGCTCAGTGTGCTGGCACGTGGTGCCCGGGACACCCGCCTCACTGATGGATCCTACTTTGGGGGTTAGCAGATCTCAAGGAGGGAGGAGGGTGGATCACAAACACCGGAGACTGGGAAAATGCTCCCTGGGATCAGGATCCCCTCTGGCTGTACTGTACAACCAGGGTTCCAGTCCCTTCCCAGCATGCTTAGAATCTCTAGGCTTGGGGCCTGGGGGTGGGGGGAGCTGTATTTTTTAAAAAGCTTCTCAGGAGTTTCCAGTGCATAGTCAGGTCACAAATTATTGAGACAGAGGGCTTTTTAAGACTCTTAGCCAGTGAATCCAAGAATCCTATGAGTTGAGGGGAAAATAGGAATGAAGCAGAGCTTCCCTAGGCATTTGAACTTTGTGGAGATGCCCTGGTATTAGGATTCAGGGACCCAGCCTGTGGCAGTAGGGGCAGTTCTACCAGCTTCCCAAAGGGACTTGAGACTCATATAACCTCTCAGCCCCCAAAACACCCACCATCCCCTAGCACCCACATCTGTTACACTCGACTCCTGTGGCATTATTTTTATCCTCCAAGGTAACCCTTAGTGTTTATTCAAGAGGTTGGAGGAGTGAGCTGCCCCAGGTCTCCTCCTGGGGTAGAGCAGTGAGGCTGGGCTGGGCATTAAAGTAGGAGTCTGGAGGCCAGCCAGATCTGCCTGTTTGTCAGCTTTGAGAGAGTGACCGCGCATGGTAGTGTATGCCTGTAATGTCAGCTGCTCAGGAGGCTAGGGTGAGAGGATTGCAAGTTCAAAACCAGCCTGGGCAACTTAGCAAGACCCTGTCTGAAAAAAAAAAAAAAGTGCAGGGGTCTGGGCTGGGGCTCTAACTCAGTGGTAGGGAGTACCTCTGGTCTCATCCCTAGTGCTGGGGAGAAGAAAAAGGAAAGGAAAAAAGCAGAGTGAGAAAGACAGGAAGCAGGCATCCAGAAATTTGTTTAGAGGACTGGAGAGAGACATGCTTGGAGCATTTAGGGACCGAGGGGTAGGGGAAAAGCTTTAGTTTCTCCCAAGTCTAGGGAGAATCCTGAGACTTCTGGGTCAGCTGGTGCAGTCCCAGTGAGAGGGAGCTCTGGAAATGGGTTCTGAGCCTTCTTCCTACTTCTGCAGAGATCTGCCTGCTGACCCGGGGCCGGCGCACAGCCAGTGTGCGGGCCGACACCTACTGCCGACTCTACTCACTTAGTGTGGACCATTTCAACGCAGTGCTTGAGGAGTTTCCTATGATGCGCAGGGCTTTTGAGACTGTGGCAATGGATCGGCTGCGCCGCATAGGTGAGATCTGTCTCCCCTGGATCCCAGCTGTGCCTAACCCCATCTCTATAGCAAGAAACAGTCTCTAGTGCTTCAGGGCCACACCCAGCTCACCCAATCCCAGCAAATGCCCCCAACAGGCCTTTCAATGCTGTGGATCACTGTCCTTATCCCTCAGTGTGTCCTACCCCTGGAAGCATCTCCCTGAGTCTCCATGCCCTGAGCCCTCCAACTGAGCACCAGTCCCTGAACCTCACCAATTCTGATTCACAACCTCTTCTTCCAACCCCATCTTCCGATCTCCATCCCCCAGCACTATCTCCATACCCTCAACCCCACCCCCATCCCTGACCGCGGTTACCTTCACATTCTCTGGCATCCAACCTCTATCTTGGATTCTTTCCCTATTATTAACTCCACCTTCCTGGGACAACTTTTAGGCAAGAAGAATTCCATACTGCAACGGAAGCGCTCCGAGCCAAGCCCAGGCAGCAGCGGCGGTATCATGGAGCAGCATTTGGTGCAACACGACAGGGACATGGCTCGGGGAGTCCGGGGTCTGGCTCCAGGCACCGGAGCTCGGCTCAGTGGGAAGCCAGTGCTGTGGGAGCCGCTTGTGCATGCCCCTCTACAGGCAGCTGCTGTGACCTCCAACGTGGCCATTGCTCTGACTCACCAGCGGGGCCCCCTGCCTCTCTCCCCAGATTCTCCAGCCACCCTCCTTGCTCGCTCTGCTCGACTCTCAGCAGGCTCCCCAGCTTCCCCGCTGGTGCCTGTCCGAGGCGGCCCTCTGCTGGCTCGGGGGCCGTGGGCATCCACCTCCCGCTTGCCTGCCCCACCAGTTCGAACCCTCCATGCCAGCCTATCCAGGGCAGGGCGCTCCCAGGTGTCCCTGCTGGGCCCTCCACCAGGAGGAGGTAGCCGGCGGTTAGGACCTCGGGGCCGCCCACTCTCAGCCTCCCAACCCTCTTTGCCTCAGCGGGCAACAGGCGATGGCTCTCCTGGGCGGAAGGGCTCTGGAAGTGAGCGGCTGCCCCCCTCAGGCCTCCTAGCCAAGCCTCCAGGGACAGCCCCGTCCCCCAGGCCACCAGTGCCTGAGCCAGCCACGCCCCGGGGCCCCCAGCTCTCTGCCAACATGTGAAACCTTTGGTTACACAGGCCTTAGCTATTGGGGTGCAATAGTGTGTGCCCAATGGCAGATGACTCCTGGGGAAGGCTGAGAGGACCCAAAACACTGCCTACGGGAATGTCTGTCCTTATCACCATGAAGATAGTCTGCGTCCTCAGCTCGAGCATCCACAGCCTGTCTAACATCCTAACGCATTCATCCATTTGTTCTATGTACCGAGTGCCTACCATGCTCAAGGCACTGTGCCAGGCGCTGTATGTCTCCACTGCCAAGTAGAAGTGACTCAAAGCCCTTTGACAAGGGCACTCCCTGGCCAAGGTCCTGCCAGGTGCAGGCCTGGATCCATGACCCCACCTTTATTAAGCACAAGTGCTTGCCATCACCATCACTGCCAAGTAATTAGATATCTCTGTTTCCCTGCCAATGACCCTGCAGGTTCTGCCCCATGTGGTTATCTTCCTGTCCCCTTAGCATAGCTGGGCACTATCAATTACCTGTGCCCTCACTGCTGCCAACAAATCTCTTGAATCCTTAGTGTGGGCATCTACCTTTGCCCTCTTACTGCCACCTGTGGACCCACCCAGATAATGTCCTCTAAGTGGGAACACACATCTACCCAGTTCCCTGCGATCTCTGTCCATGTGGTAGAGTTATTTTTGTAAACTGGGAGCTGCCTCTTCCCTGTGCCTCCTGCCCCAGTGGCGTACCCCCCCCCTTAAACTAAGGGATAATTGTCACCTCCTTACTGTGCTAGCCTAGATCCACCTTGGTAGGGGGCAAGTATCCGAATCCTTATATGATCTCTTCTTTCCTTTTTTATTTGTCTTATTTATTCAGTTATTTATTAATTTTATTTATTCATTTGCTAATTTGACTTATCCATTCATTTTATCCTTTATCTGTCCTTCCCCCCTCTCCTGGGAGGGAGATGGGAGGAGCAGGAGGAGGCAGGACCATTCTACACCCAAACTCTTGTGGTCCTTGTGCAGTGCCATCAGCAATATCAAACCCTCTCCCTACCTAGGTAAAGGCAGGTGGGGCCACCCAAGAGGGGGAGGGGACTATTTTTATCTTTGTTATTTTCTCTTCTGGGTCTGCTGTTGGTGCAGGAGTAAGGAGGGCCCCACAGTATCCAAGCCTGGGGAAGAGCAGCCAGCCAGCCCCTCTACCTTCTCAGGGACAAGAGTAACCCCTTACCCACCCACTCTGTCCCTTCTACTCTGCAGTATCAAAGAATGTGGGGCCAGGACCCTAAATCTCCTTTCCTCCTGGGTGGGGAGTTCTGGGGTTCTTGGTGTGTGGGAGAAGTTTTATAATTGCTGCTAAATAGCTGGGTTTAAAAGAAAATAGAGACTTATTTTGGCTCTTGGTTTGTGTGTGGGACTAAAGTGGGTATGAGGGAATTTCTGGGTGCAGGAGGGGTCATGTAGCCCAGCAAAGCAATGAGGTGGCCATGAGAGCAGCCAGGGGGAGACAGTCTGCAAGCTCAGCCTCAAGGCTGTGAAGTCAGTGATGAGATCATCCAGCTTCCTCCAAGTGTGGCCCCCTGATGTTACTGTCTGCCACCATGAAGGGGTAGCTTGCCCCTATCCGTGGGAGGTGTCACTCTCCTCAGGAGATGCCTTGCTGATTGTGAGGGCCACATAGAAAAACATCAGACTGCACGGATGCAGTGTTTTAAAATAGTTCAGGGGAGACTAGACAGGATCACCCTGTCTCTGCTCCCCAACCCCAGGGATGAGAAACGTGAAAGAATAGAATTAAGCAGCCAAGCTGGGTTTAAAGGCTCAGGGCATCTTAGAGCCTGGCTGAGCAGATTGGATGTGGGGAATATACAATTGGTGCTGCTGGGTGGCCAGTGCATAATTGGACACAGATTTTCAGGGCCTGTCTGAAATGCAGGCGGGGGCACCCCGCAATCGGGCTAGATGGCAGATGTGATCTTGGATAGGGATATGGGCGTAGAGAGACTGGGAAATGAGGCCGTGGATGGGTTGTGGGTTGGAGGGAGCAGTGTCGGGAGGAAGGGTTGGACTGGATCGGAGCGGGAAGGAGCGTCTCAGGATATGCTCAGCACTCGCATGATGTTGGTATAGCCAGAGCCAGGTCGCCAGCCTGTCACCACAATCACCAGGTCCCCAGTACGGAGAAAACCACGGAGCTTTCCTGGGGAAGGGAAAGAAGATGATATTCGTTGAGAGGCCTAGACCAGCCTGGTAATAAGGATCAGCAACCATCCCCAACCCCCTTCAAGGGTACCCTGTAGGAATTGAGGCACTTGAAGCAAACTGTTGGCACCGCAGGGAGTGTAACCACTGTGGTGTTTTAAAGCAGTGCAGTGTCAATGGGGGGAGGTGGTGCATGGTCGCTAAGTAGCAAGGCTGCCCAAAGAGGTCAAGTCGGATCATATGACAATTGTCAATTCGATTTTCATTCCAGCTGTCGAGCTTTCTCCTCTCTCCTCTTGCTCCTATGTCATACCAGGCTCCAGCCACCCGGCACAGACAGCAGCTGGATGACTTAAGGATGGCTCTGCCCTCTCTCTCAGCTTGACCCCCACCCCCAGCATTCCAGCTACTTCTCAGTCTTTGTGACTCTTATAAGGACAATCTGGAATCGAAGGAGAGGGGTAGGGCTTTTTTGAGTGGTGTGTGAGGCCAGGTTGAGGGACTCCTGGTACAAATGCCAGGGGAGGGAGGGAGGGAGGTCTGGCAGCTCACCACTCTGAATGCCAAATTGGACCCGGCGATCCACATCGTCTGCCCAGATGGCCTCTGGAGGTTCTCTGTAGAGCAAGGGGAAGACTCCCCGGCATAGGTTGACCTGGCGGGCAGCCTGGGCGGAGCGGGTGACAGCAATGACTGGGGCTCGAGGTCGGTACCGAGACAGAAGCTGGGCCGAGCTGAAGAAGAGCAAGAGGGGCTGGGGCTGGGGCTCAGCAGTAGAGCACTCGCCTAGCACGTGTGAGATGCTGGGTTCCATCCTCAGCACCCCATAAAAATAAATAAATAAAAGGTGTTGTGTCCGACTATAACTTAAAAATAAATATTAAAAAAAAAAAAGAGCAAGAGAGGGTTGAAATAGGAGACAAGTTTGAATTGTGGTTCTAGGTGTCACCAGGAAGCTGTGTGACCCTGAGGAAGTCATCACACTTCTCTGGGCCTTGATTCTCTCCTCTGTAAAAAGTGACTCAAAGCCCTTTGACAAGGGCACTCCCTGGCCAAGGTCCTGCCAGGTGCCAAGGTCCTACCACAGAATAAGAATCTACAAAAAGGGCTGGGGATGTGGCTCAGCGGTAGCGCGCTCGCCTGGCATGCGTGCGGCCCGGGTTCGATCCTCAGCACCACATACCAACAAAGATGTTGTGTCCGCCGAGAACTA